TCCTTTTCTGCCTCCGTCTACTAGAGGTGAGGGCATCAAGCTGCGCTTTAGTAAGGCCAGGATTTCAGTTCGTAGTCACTTCTTCACTCAGCGGGCTGGCGGCGAGTACGCTAAGTTTAGCAAACACATTCCCTCTCCTATTAGTTATTGCTCCTTCAGACGAGAAGTCTCCCATTATCTCAAGGACATCAGCTAGTTGTCTTCTTGGTTTCTTATTGTTCTCCTGTTGCATTCTACCTCAGATTTATCTTATTGCTAGTGCTTTTAATTTGCCTTATAATCGTGTTCTCTCATTTGAAGTCTCCCGATTTTTGTTGTTCATTGTTATAATAGTCCACATGCCCATATCGGGCGTGTAATAAATAAATAAGAAAAGAGGGGTTTCTGCGTGTACTCCCGGCAGTACACGCCGCCTCGAACGTGTTAATACACCCAACTGTTATATCTGTGATCCGTGCGCATCTCGTGCTGCTGATGCTGGAGTGCTTCAAATGTTTCGCCGAGACATGTAGTAGAGTTTTTCGATAGCTTTTGATGATATTACGCTTTAGTTAACCTTTTAGAAAGTCTTAGGCAGCGTTCAGACTTCGCGACGGCAGCGCTTCGGTCGCGCGTTCGACGCGATCGATGCGCATGCTTTCAACTGCATCGATCGCGTCGAGCGCGTGACCGAAGCGCTGTCGTCGCGAAGTCTGAATGCTGCCTTATGGGGAAGGTGTACACACGAATGTTATGTTAAACCCGGTTGAAAGAACACTCGCAAAGCTGGAAGGTGAGTTGTTTGGTGAAATTAACCCCTGCCCCACGAATAAATTAGCAGTTTCTGTGATTTATGTCTCCTATTCCAGGGGAGATCTGTACGAAAAACCAACATTCGGGTGCCCGCCGATTACCCTGGAACGCGAAATGGGAGGCGAAATAAGAGGCATATCCAGCGATCTTCTGTTCATACAATGCCGTTGATATCTGGAGGCGGGCGGTTGTTACCAAGGCCACTGGTGGAAGGGCTGGGTGAGGTATGGCCGGGGAGGGGGTTTGATTCAACCACAACGCTTTGTAAGAATATGGCCCGATTCCTTCCAATCAGTGGCTCAAATGTTAAGAGATCTGCAATTTTTTTTGTGCTGTTCGCTGCTCACCGACCCTGCTTTACGACCCCCCCCCCTTTTTACCGTTGGCCAAGTACGACCTCCCCTATGGGTTTAAACTCAACGATGCTGTACCCTCTCCCCCATGATTGTTTCGCCAACCAAATAGGCTTTTCCCGCATTGCTGATGTACGACCGAATTCGCCAACTAAATAGGCACTCCCTCACTGAATGATGTACGACCGACTGTCTTATAGAAAAAAACATAGCTGCCGCATGTCACCGTCGTGTAAGGCAGCGTTCATACTTCGCGACAGCAGCGGCGATCGCGGCGATCGCGGCGACCTCGGCGATCGCCGCGATCGTCGGTACATGGCAGAGCGCGCCCCAACGCTATTACTTGAACCGCTCCGAAGGCTTTTAGGGACTCAATTTCATGCTTTTTCCTTTAACTGCAATTTTCTTAGGTACTGAAGCTTGGTTTGACACAAAGAAAGGTGAACCCAACTTAATGGCTTTTGTTTTCTATTTTCTTTCTTGATTCAGGATAGAAATGAGCAAAAAGCGTGAGAGCTTCATTTAGGTAGGTTTTTATTGTTTCTTTTTTCATTCGTCGAGCTTATACATGAGGTTATAAAGTTTTCACCTGTTGATGTTGCGTAAAATGATTAGTTCTTAATGGTTGAGTCTCCTAGGTTTCTTTCTGTTTCTTTTTTTTCTTCGTTGTTTGAACTCGACTTGTAAACTATAAATGTTTTGGAAGTTGGAACAGTTCAGACGATAGGAACTTTCAAGGCGCTTGTATAAATTGAAACAATAAAAACAAAAGAAACAAAAAAAAGAAGCTCACCCAGGAAATGGAGTTGGCCTTATCCCGACCTAAAAAGAAGTGAAACCTTCTTACCTCATATTCCAGATCCGCTTATGTATAGAAAGTCGTAAGTTATCAGTTAGTAGCCATTATTAAGAGAAAAGAAGGTCTCACAAGTTGGATTCCCTTATTTATCAAGCGAGCGGTCCATAATAGCGTTGGGGCGCGCTCTGCCACGTACCGCTGCATCGCGAAGTATGAACGCTGCCTAAAGTTAAAATTGTGAGTGCGCTCACGATCGTTACCACACGGCATTGGCGGTTTGATGCGCGACGCCGCGTGGTCCTAACGTCACGTACTCAGCGGCTAGTCGTGCAAGCGGATAATATCACAAAATATGCAGTTGGCGGATAGGATTCTATCCGCAGCCTCAACGGCTGAACGCTTCGGACTGTTCCAAACCGTACCAGTGCGGAGGGTGCCTACGTCAGAGCCTGGCGAGCTAGCCAAGGCGAGCTGACAATCTTCGTCGCCTACGCACCAACATCAAGCTACGACGAGGATGAGCTCGAAGCGTTCTATATGGAATTGGAGAAGTTCTACAAGGAAGATCATACCTTCTTCAAGGTCATCGTCGGTGATTTCAACGCTAAGATCGGACCAAGAAGCTGAAGAACTTCACATCGGAACTCACGGAATGAGCAGGGTGAATGGAGTGGAATGAGCAGGGTGAAAGGCTGTCTGAGTTTATCATGTCGACCCATACCATCCATGGTAACTCGCAGTTCCAGAAGCCCTACTCTCTACGCTGGACATGGGAGTCTCCTGGTGGACAATTCCATAACGAGATCGACCACATCATCTGCAATCGAAGGTTTTGCCTGACCGATGTCGCTGTTGCTCTTAAGACTTAAGGAGAGAAGAGCAGCAGTACTGGTGGAAGCCGCAGAGGCTGGGAAGAGCGTACGCAACGCCCGCCGCGACTTCGCCAACTGTAAGACAAACCTGATAAGACAAACCTGACCCTGATGACCGCCCTCCGATGTCCGGATGGAACAATCACCGCATCTAGAAGAGCAATGGAGAAGGTCATTCACAACTTCAAGCAGGGTTTCGAAGAGGATTCAGCACGATCGATCACATCCACACGGTAACGAAGCTCATTGAAGTATCGCGAGAGTACAAGATGCCGTTATGTCTCACGTTCATCGACTTGAAGAAAGCCTTCGACTCCGTTGAGACAGAAGCGGTTATCGAAGCCCTGGGCAACCAGGGTATTCCTACTCAGTCAGGATTCTTCGTGAGCTCTACAGCAACTTCACGACCAAGATCTCACCATTCTACAAGGAGATCATCATCGATGTGAAGAGGGTGTTCCGACTGGGCGACACCATCTCGCTTTGCTGACGACATCGTTTTGATATCACCGAACATCGAACGAGCGGCACGTCTTTGGCTGGATCTAACGAAGACGATGTTCATGAGAAACGGATTGGTTTCTGATGCCCCATTCACGCTCAACGGAACGACCATCTCTGAATGCTCTAGCTATGTGTACCTAGGCCGTGAAATCAATATGTTGTATGACTTAGCACCAGAGCTGAGCAGGAGGAAGCGAGCGGCTTGGGGAGCCTTCAAGAACATCGAGGGTAGCGAAGAAGACGAAGAACACCAAGCTCCGTGCCCACCTCTTCGATTCCGCGGTCCTTCCTGCCTTGACGTACGCCTCAGAGACTTGGACTCTACGAAAGCAGGATGAGCATGCGGTCGGTGTTATTCAACGCGCCATCGAAAGGGCGATGCTCGGAGTTTCCCGCTACACGCAAGTGAGAGAGGGAATCCGGAGCTCCGCACTCCACCGACGATCAAAGATCAGCGACGCCCGCATTTGCCAATGTTTCGAAGATCACGTGGGCCAGGCACGTCATGCGTTTCGAGGACGACCGCTGGACCAGAGCGATCACCGACTGGATTCCACGGGATGTCAAGCGAACGCCTGGACGACCGCCTATGCGATGGTCAGACTTCTTCGTGAAAGCTCTGAACGAATGGTATGAAGTTCATCGTGTCCCTCGAGCAGAGAGAGTCCATTGGGCAACTCTTGCACGTTGCAGGGACGAATGGAGACGTTACTGGCGCCCGCTCGAGGAACTCGATGATCAACGGGAGCACAGGTGATACAGTGAGGTGACGCAATTGGCAGCTCCTACGGGCTACGCCACCTCTGTTCTGCAGTTAAAGTAGATAATCGCTAACAACGCTCTTTTTTTATTTGCAATCAATAAGTAATTACATCAATTATGACACAATCTACATCTCTCTGAAAGTCCAACTGGAGCTGGTACAATAGAATGTCGAAAGAGGTAGACAGAAATTGGTATATGGCATGATGAGAACACATTTTATGAACAGACCCTGAAGTTTGAAGCCTATAACCTGAATATGGTCACCATGGTAACGACGCAATCAGTCGGGGTGGTTTTGAGAGGGATGGAATGAGTCATCAGCGCTTTCACCACTGGTTGTTTTCTTCCTAAATCGACCGCCACTGGTAGAGCAAAGTAGCCAGAGGTGGGCTCACTCCGGTCCTCCGGACCCCGCCGCGACTGATTGCGACTTTAGCGACTTTACTGATGCTTACATAAAATCACAGCTAATCGAAACATAACGTCATATAACATAATAGATCATCTCTAATTTCCTCCCGAAAGCTGTGATTATCTTCTGATTTTGAACAGATACAGTGTTTTCATGCATGATGTGGCCTAGATTCAATATGTCGTACTAGTTCATGCGTTTTGTCCCGCTTATGTACGGACTGATCGTGTACAAGAGAAGCACGACCTGAAACACAAATTCAGGTGTAGTTCATATTTAACTCACGAAGCTGCGCTGGCTCTCATGAATGGGGGGCAGTACATCCACATTGCGGCAACATTGTGAGAGCTGCCTTGCAAGCGGCACCACGGGCGCGGAGTGCGTGACAGAACTTAAGCTGCTAGACTTGGAAAGATTGCGGTATGTTGAGTCCTCTAACCAGCAAGTACAGATGATTAGTGCGTTTTGCTACAGCGTGAATGTAACGCTCAACACCTATATACATACAGTCCATACCAAAATGGCAAGGGCGTGGCGACGCACTTCCTTGGAATATGCGTAGAATGCGTCTTCCTCCGTGGGATATTCCCATTTGAGACAATTGTCACCCTGTCTTGTCTGCTGTGTGGACATTAGATTACACTTGTCCAAAAACGACAATATCCTACCAAAAGCGGGGAACATGATTGGTTGAGAATTTTAGTCAGTCTGGACTCTGTTCCTGAGGAATGGCTTGATACGACCCCCTCCCCTGAATTCCCTCCTCTAATACAACAGAGCTCGAGAGGGGGGAGGCGGGGGAGAGGGTAGATAGCACATGTGAGACGTAAGAAACAGTGAAAAGTCAACAAGCAGAGAGAATTTTCCTGCCAACCCGCAAATTTTCCTCAGAAGGCCAATACGATCCCGCTCTCCTGTTGGGATCCACAACGATGACGTGCTCTGATCAAAAGCCCAGCCGAAGCCATGTTCCAGTGCTGCCATGCCCCCACCATCTGCAGACTATGGAGTGAATCACTAGCGCAGGTCTGGCGCCCAGCGGATGCGCCAACAGATGCGCCTAAGTTTCTGTAGGATAAACAGGCTACAGTCATGATCCCTGCAAACGATAGGGTGTGTGAAGAGGGCATGGCTTGGAGCGCAGCCGGAACAGTTTTCATAGCGGCTGTATCGGGCTCAGGATGGCATGGGAAAAGTTGCAACCGCGCCGTCGCATGCCCTAGCGTTTGCAGGTATTTTGCAAGACGAGGGGGAAAGCTTTTCTGTACAGCGGGTAGTGGAGCATAAGCCAAAAATAAGAGTGGACGCGATGTTTTTTCAGCAGCTACGCTGAAATTTACGACATACCTGAGGGATCCTGGCTCGCTTGCCATTTCGGTATCCATCTCCTGACTGTCTTGGCCGCGTTATCGCTAGGGAACATCTCGTGGAATAGTTTCCTCATATAGAAGGCCTCCTTACTATGAGGCGTGTTATATGGGAAAAGTTCTTCTGCTTTGGAAAACTGAAAAGGAACTATTTAAGGCTGTTCAATACAAATACACACTATTTCTAGTGGTGATTGGGAGATTAGAATTGACTAGTTCAATGTTCCCTGAATTCCTGACTCACCTCCTCATCTGTGACTTGCCGAGCACAGAAAGCCATCAACTCGTCGATCCAGGAGTAACCTACTCCATCAGAAAACTGTTCCTTTTGCCTCCACAAGATTTCATGAGGAAGGTACGTCTGAAACGTCCAACTGTTTCTATAATTACGTCACTGTCTTTTTCTTCGCTCTCTAATTTCTTAGTTTTCCCGATCTATTATTATTATTAATTTATCTGCCATTCATTTATTGTTCGATTTAAAGGATCATTCCATGATTAGTTTAGTGAAAATCAGTAAAGGGACTGTCTATAGCTGCGAAAGTTGTACCCATTCCGCGGTTCATAGCCGAGCAACAAAGGCACCACAACCATAGTTTGTCGCGGTTACTGCATCCAGACAGAGTATCCACACTGAGATAGATGCATCGATATCTGTCTTCTCACTCGTCTCTCTGTTCTATCACCCTTCGGGTCTGACCTCTCCTCTGGGCACTTGGTGTTTAAAGGCAGTGAGCACGATGACTGGGGGTGGGCCTCTGTTGCCAACGTCATTGGTGGAAGGGCTGTGTGGGGTGTGGCCAAGCACCCTTCCACCAATGACGCTGGCAACAACCGCTCGCCTTCAGCAATCATGTCCACTGCCTTCTGGCTCGAAGATTATCTAATTTATTTTTACTTTCAATGGATAGTTGATAACAATGAGCCGTTACAACCCCCCCCCCACTTTATAGATTTTGTAGGGGAGGGCGTGTAACTCGAGACAGTAGTTTAGTTTCTGGTTTCCGACTGCCTTCGATCGAAACTAAACGAACCCGCTCATCTTCCCTCTTTCATTGCAAAAGGAATGGAGGACTAGGAACTGATAAGCGGTGATTTCATCAGCTCATGACAAGGAGTTTCATCATTCTATGCTCACGCTTGGCCTCAAAGAAGATGGTCATATTGAGGCAGCGTTCAGACTTCGCGACGGCAGCGCTTCGGTCGCGCGTTCGACGCGATCGATGCGCATGCTTTCGACTGCATCGATCGCGTCGAACGCGCGACCGAAGCGCTGCCGTCGCGAAGTCTGAACGTTACCTCAAGAGCGCTTCCAGAGATTATTTCTCCTATTCGCACGGAATGTTCACTTCATTTCTGACCCCAGCCACACGTGGAACATGCATCTGAGGATATTAATAATTAACTCGAAACTTACGTCTGCGTCGAAGGCTTTTCTCAGGAACATACTTCTCCACATTACGTCCATTGAGCGCCTGTGGGCGTTTGTATTTTGGTGCCGTCAACATGGTAGCTTCCAGGAATGCCTGAACAGTGAAAATTTCTTCCATGAGCTCGAGAAAATTTCCCCAAAAACTCTTACCTTGTCAAGGAATGGAACGCGTACTTCCACAGAGTGAGCCATTGTTGACTTATCAGCTCGGAGGCAGTCAGCAGTGTACAGATGTAGAACACGATCAATCGTTTCCTGAATACAGTATTTGTAAAAGCTATTCATTCGACAAGGCCAATCCAGCCTTAAAGGCACATTCCGCGATAAAATAAGGCTATGACCTCTCAAATGTGTCGGACGATCCGGAAGGCGATTTTTGAGGCTGCGCTACTTTCAAAATGTGAAAAACGGCAAGAACTCCGCTAGAAGCTGACTAATTAGGCCCATGGACACCCCTTAGGCCCATGCCGACCCTCACCGGCTGCTAGCTACTAGCTAGTAGCCACTATGTTATCTTTCTCTATAACATTTCGGACTGCTTTTTCTGCTGCTTTTCTCCGCTAATCAGATACTTAGCACTTTTTTGTGCCTATTTGAGTTCCGTTTCCCGCAATTTGCGGTCGCGAACTGTGCCTTTAAGCAAATTTCTTACTTTTTGGAATTCATCATCATTGGGTGCATTGTGGAAGTACAAATATCCGCCAAAAATCTCATCAGCTCCTTCGCCGGAGAGCACAACCTAAATTGATGATCAATGAGCTCCCACAGTAATCATTTTCTTCTCAGGACCTCACCTTTATGCCCATTTGCCTGATCTTCTCCGAAAGGAAGAACATGGGCGTCGAACGCTCGGATAGATGTGACATCGTACGTTTCGAGATGCCATATCAAGGTTACGGAGGTTCTTTAAGACCTTCCTGAAAATCACTTGGTTTTAGCGGTTTTGTACTAAGATGATGCTTTTTCTCGAACTGATAAAATATTCGTACACAGTTCTACACGATCCGCAACACGTGCACCGTAGACTAGACTCTGTACCCCGAAAATGGGAGGGGCGTGGTTATGCACTTAATTTGAGCCGTGGCGGCGATTGCTTTCCTATTACATCGCCGCTTTGACACCAACTGTAATGATGTTTGCCCGTCACAAGGAAGTTTGCCAGTTGTCTCGAAGAAGAACATTAAATGAAAAAAGCATCTACGCCATCTCGTATGAAGTACGCAGCCACGCCCTCCCCAATCTTGGGATATAGGGTGTACTTGGGAGAGAACTATCTCAGAACTGTGGTTCGTGCCAAAGAGATAGGAGAAGAGGAAATAACGATGTGACCTGACCTGAACGCTGAAGTGAAATTCATGGTGATGGGTTCCAATGTGCTTAGCCACTTTTCGGGCAGCGATGATATCAGGAGACAGATGATCGACCCCAATGGAAAAAGAGTGAACTACCAGACCGCGTCGCTTCATTTCACGTGCCGCAATTGAACTGAAATTGATGAAGTCTGGAGAGCCTGACTCAAAATACTCCTCGTTGTTCACGAACCTGACAAGACTCGAGTCAAGTCCACCAGAAAGTAGGATCCCCAGAGGTGCATCTGACATAAGGCGCTTGATCACCGCATTGACCAAAGTGTCGTGGATAAGCTTCAGGTCTTGTTCATGCGTGGCCAGACGGTAGTCAACCCATGCCGGCTGTAAGGAAAAGACGTATCGTTTATGTAAAGTATAGAAAATAATAGCAAGTAATATAAATAGGAGGTAAAAAAGTGACTTTATCACTTCGGAAGCGATATATCGCACAAGGCACTTCTCAGTCACATCGTACAACGAAAAGCTCCATTGATACCCTGCCAATGCCACTCCTCGGGGCCCACATATATTAGTCTGTGAAGGGACATATACACCCATTCTGCGGCAGAAAGGCATCTTTGATCGAGTTAGAAGAGTTCAGACCCAAACTAGACCGCCCAGACCCCGCCCCTCCCCACAAACCCCGCCCTGGAATAGTTCGAGCCAAAAAAAATGGAAACTTCAATGCCAATCTTATCTATGGGACTTATTTAGTCAGGCGTAAGGAATGAATGGCGCTTTCGGTCCTTCACAGAAAAAACTACTTATGTTTCAACGAATCTGTATTCTTACCTGATAATATCTTACAAAACCTTTGTCAGGCTGGAAGAAATGACCAGGTGGAAAAATTGCTAAAGTGTCCCTGCCGCACACATCCTCGAACGTTTTCATCTCATTGCTGAAAAAAAGAATTTGTGAGTTCCATACCTCTAAATAGTATCATGTATACTTTGTTTCCATCAGAATAGTTGCCTATTATTTTGATTTTAGCCTAGACTACACGTGACCATAGCCTCTCGTGGACCACAGCATCAGCTGCTCTTCACTGAACTTATGTGGGCATGGGTTTCAGTGATAAATTTCTAGTATAATCAAAATTTTATAATTTTGTTGATGAGTGATCGCTTTTTTTCCTATTGTTGTGCTGTCCCGGAGCCTCATGAGCATTTCAATGTTCCAAATAAAACAAATACGCTCTGGAAGTGTTTACCGCCCAAGAACTCGAAAGCCTCAAACTCAAAAGCAGCTGGTAAGCATCTGAAAATATTCAGTCTTGTTCGCTGCGGATCATGGCGTTTGTTAAGGGAGGGGGTGACTTTGGCGCGCAGCGGCGTTAGCCATTTCTCAACCAAATGTGGAAGCTGGCAGGCGACTGCAAGTTAAGGGAAACTGGCTGGCGCTGTGCAAAACCCAGCCCCCCCCCCCCCCGGACAGCCCACCGTCGGCAGCGAACAAAAATGTAATGCAATTGACGTTTCGTCCACTACTACTTAAAGAGGGTATGATGGGTAAGGTAATGCTTAGTCCTTCCCACGAGGGAAAGGCTCCCATGTGGACAGCTGCATAAAATAGGAGGCAGACCCAAGCTGGGAGACTAGTTCAACGTTTTTTCAAATTGTTCATACTGCTAGACCATTTCAGGTAGCTAAAAAAATAAGTAATCCACAGAAATATTCAAAAATACACGGAGCACTTTTGAGATCCTTTTGAGATTTTCGAGCTCATGAATTTTTCGGAGAAATGTTTGTGTTATTCCCAAAATCTTTTTTTTTCATATTCACTCCCCGGTTTTCCCTCATGCCTTCTGATTCGCCTCAGTAGCGATATGCCATTCAGTCCTATTGAAGTGACCAAGTGATGAAAATTGATTCTGACTGTTGGCTTGATCGAAACACTGATGTAATTGGAGGTAGCAAAAATTTTACTCGTTTGGATGAATGTTGCTATTTATAGCTCTGCACAAGTGGAACACTATAGCTTGTTGGCTTGCTGTGCTTTGATGCTGCAGCGAGAAGTGTCAGGAGGAACATTTGGCGCTTGCAGTGTGACACAACAGATCAAAATGCGCTCGTACAACTGCTGAAACATTTTTGAACCCATCACGTCGGCAAAAACGATACTACTGATTATAATAATATTTGAAGCACTACTTACTAGTACAGCATACAATTGTACTGTAAAGTAGGCCCAACAAAACTCGAAAGGTATACATTAAAATTGAAAGTTCAAGAGGACAATAGAAAGATCAAGCAGAGCTGATAAAGCATTTTCAGGAGTGCGCCATGCACTGTGATTTTATTCAGATTGATAGATGGCTTCTAAATGTCTAGCGCTTAGTCCATGCAGTAACCGTACTAAGCGATGTATACACTCAGACGAATCTGGCACTTATTCACTGGCTTCGAAGAGATGGAAGACTTGGCCGGATCCTGAATTCACAGAAACGAATCTGGGATTTGACCCTCGAATTACGCGTGTGGTATGCAGCGTCATTTTCCCTACACAGAGCTTCCGCTCAAAGGCGGTCGGCACTATAATTTATTTCTTGACCTAATATGCTAGCAGGGCACTATATAAATGGGTGGATTTTTGAAAAAAGGGAAGCGGTCAAAAACTTGCGAAGAAAAGCCTTCCGTTCTTAATGACTCAAAAAGCAATTTCGGACGAGTTTCCCGTAGGCATCTTGCCAATAACCGCTACGGTAGATACGGCTGCACGTATGTACTCATATATCCATGCAGCACCGCAGCCGCTTCGCAATCCCTTCGCTTCATATTTCATTTCGCAAATAAAGCATTACGAGCAGCTGGTAGCAACAGGACTCGTCCATTTGTGGGCGGGCGAGCGTGGTGGGCGTCCGGGTCGGTATGTTGCAGCTTGATAGGGCCTTATAAGGGTACCTTCCTTGGAAAAGGCGCTACGCAGCGCCTGCTCAGGGTCGCGGAATTCCGTCCTGCCAGGCGTATTAATCCTACTCGTCTTAGGGATTTATCGTGCCAACTGCCTTCAACGTAGAATGTCTTCCTCCGGTGACCGCCCCATCCTTATCTCCGATCCTACCAATCATCTTTATACATTTTACTTAAATCCTACCAACCACCAAAAGCTCCTACTTTTCAACCCTAAAAATTCCTGAGGAGGACTATATACAGCGCTCTCGAAATCGGAAAAACCGAGAAATGTCAACCACTGAAAACCTTTTTCACAAAGGCAAACGCGATGCCACTCCTCTCAACGACCAAATACGACCACTCGCTGGAGATTCCCAACGTACGACGCGCCCTCATTGTACAGATCAGGAGTTAAACGAGGGATTTCAGCAGTATGGAGCAGTTCGGCGACGGGGGGGGGGAGCATTTTGAACTTCTGCCACTTCCCATCAACGCGTCCACTGATCTAGTCAGCTGGAAGGTTCTTTCATAGTGGCTCGACGAGCTTGCTCCAGTTTCACAAAGTTCACAGGTTTCACCAGAGTGAGACTTGTAACCGGAACTAGTGAAGCAACGAAAGTGCAAAATGCCCCCCCCCCTCGTCGTCGAATCTGCGCACAGCATTTTTTTCGCAAGTGAGCTTGGAATATTCCAAAGTGCAAAAGTATAGTCAAATGCATGTTCTGTGGTTACCAGCCAGCCGTTCGATGTATTGCGCAGAGTTCGTGGGTCATTAATTAGGGTTCAGGTGTTATGACCGAAGTGTCGTCAGCTGTATCGACGTAGATATCAGCTGTGTTCTCCATTCATCAAGTTCCAGCGTTAAATCGTCAACAAACCTATGGCATCGGACTACAAAACACTATGGAATGAAGACAATTACTTACTACTTTGGAACTACAAGTATTTGTAGGGTTTCCACAAGTTACCGCATGAATTCTTATTGTTCTTGGCCTGACCTATCGCGTTATAACTCAAATCTGTTACTAACCTGAAGAAGTAACGTCCAAGTTTGTCGATACCGTAGTACATCTGTTTCACTCCAATTGGATCTCTGGCAGCCATGAAATCGCCATCATAACAAAGTGCGAAGGCGAAAACTCCATCGAGCATGTTACACATGGAACCATCACGAACCTTCTCGTACAAGAAGATGATCACCTGTAGTAAGCCATCGATTAACCGGTAAGTAAACGAACTCGAGTTGAACTGTTATTCTCACCTCAGAGTCGCAATGTGTACGCAATGTCATTCCTTTCAATTCATTCTCTCTTAGTTTGACATGGTTGTAGATCTCTCCATTATGAATTACCTGTATCAGTTACTCTATCAGTCAGCATATTGCATCATTATAATGTAAAGAAAACACGCGGACAACTATCAATAGCGTATTAACTGGTAACAGTAGCGGGTCACTAACCTGATGAGTGGGCAGCGTACCCTGTAGAGGTTGAACAACGCCGAGATCCATAATAGCTAATCGTTCATGACAAAGTATGTTACCAGTGGATTTTTCGCAGTAGTAACCGCTAAAATCTGGTCCTCGATGAGTTTGTCGTCTGAAAAGAGGTGTATTAGTAGCTGGAAGTGAACAAGTGATTCCTTGGTAACTTACTTGGACAACTCTCTTGCCTTCTGCACATCAAATCGTTCAGAACATCCATGATGACAAACAGCGAAAATACCACACATCTTATTAGGGAATATCGTCTATTAGCGAATGGGATACCGCGTAGGCAGCACCTGCTTTTATACATGGCCCTTGAGACGGAGGCGGAGTCATGATGCGAAACGTTGCACCACTATGATGATGACACCACGAGTGTCTGACACAATCAAGATCCGTAAAGACA